ATCCATGGTGGTTACCACAACAATGCCAAGAAATTGTCAGTTGAATTAGAAGAGTGTGCAGGGGAAAGAGTGCTGTTAGGAGAATTAGAGGTCAGTTTTCCATCTTGCTAACGTGCAGGAATTGAGGCGTCGCAAGACTTGTACGCGTTATCATGGGCCCCTAATACGCGCTGATTAGGTGGGAGTGAGCTGCAATAGATTACCGCACGCTTAGAATCGCCTTGACCATGCAAAGAAAGCAGCGCATTACATTACCGCACGCTTAGAGCGGCATTGCGCTGTTGTGATGGCTGTTACAACGGACAGGAATGGACGGATCGAAGAGCAATGCAACCACGACGGAGCAGGGGTCAGCGCAGCAATTGGCGTGGCTGACCAGAGGAGTTCGAGAGCATGGTGTGGCGGCGAGGTGAGAGGGTGGTGGCGTGGCGAGCGTGATAATAAAGCTGGAGCGGCGCGCTGTGAGATGGAGATTGTGGGTGGGTGATCGTCGGACATGGACAGGCGGGTGAGAGATGCTGGTGATGGTGGGTGGGTGGTTGTCGCATCTCCTGGTTTCACGGTATTGGAAGAGATGGGAGGAGGCTGGCCCAGTTTCTCTCAAAGAGCGCCCTGTTATTATGTTGGCAAAGCTGATTGATCATACGGATGCGTCACTACATAATAATTTGCACCTTAAGCCATGGCGCACTCTTAAATGAGCATATTGCAACATAACATACAGAAGTACAAATAGAAAAACTATTTGTATTTTAAATTTGGACTAAAATATGAATAATATATACAGGTCACATCAGATGGAAGACGCAGTAGCGTAAAACCCTTAATTTTCATGTGTATACATATACATACAGCAGGTGCTTTCATTAACCGACAGCACACATGACATTCGAAGCCACCAGGAAACTACGGACAGAATCTTCTTGAATCGCGACACTTTCATAGGGGGCCATCCTCGCGCCGCGCCTGTCGCCCTCTCGCACTCGACCTAAAAACCTCTAAATTTTGGCTCTCTCGACTAGTCTCAAGTCTCCCCTCGCCAACACAGCAACCCTTTCGAAAGTCACATCTCCTCTGAGCAAGAATGCTAGAGTCCGCAAAACACTTTGCCGCATTGCCTCCTCTGGTGTTGGCCAATTACACGCGCTCTGCAACATCTAGGCCAACGGACTCCGTTAGAAGGAAAAATACGAGAAGACTAGCCTGAACAGTGCTTCCATTGGCTCGCCCTGCGACTGCAGTCGAAAACTCAGACAGTATAATTCAGGTGTGAGTGCCTCCGACATAACCAGTCCAACAAACATGGATATCGACTCCGATAGGTTGGCGTCGCACGATCGTGCAGTCGATGTGGCCGACTGTCACACAGATGCTCGCAGTCGCATGGACGAAGACGACGCTCGCACAGCGCCGTTCGAGGCGTCGCTCGTGCCGTATGCGACGGACGAGCGCCGCACGCCGCATGGCCGCTGCCGTCGAGCTCCCTTCCACGGCCCTCTCGCTCGCGCGCTGGGTCTCAACGACTGGTTCTCCAGCGAGGTGCGTTCTCTCGTGCATTGCGATTGTCGGGATGGTACGTTCTTTGCAATTCGGAGCTCTGAGGTCGTCCTTTCTCCACATGAACATGTCTTCGTTCCTTCACAGGTATGGCGCGCGGCCGTTATCGAGCTCGTGGGCACGGCGTCGATCGTCTGCCTCTCCGTCATTGCCACCACCTCTTGCCTCAACTCCTCCTTCACCTCCCCTCCTCTCGCCATCGGCCTCGTCAACGGGCTCCTTTTAACTCTTCACATCCTCGCCACGGCTCCCGCTTCAGGCGGCCACGTCAATCCCTCCATCACGATCGCGACGTTCTTCGCTGGTCTCACATCCCTCCCCCGCGCTGCGCTTTACATTACGGCGCAGTTTGTTGGTAGCGTGCTCGGCGCGGCTTGTGCTCGCGGAATGCTGCCTCCTGTACTCGTTACAAAATACCTCCTTACAGGCTGCACAGTCTCGCTCCCTCAATCCTCCGTCCCTCCTCCTCCTGTTCCCTTCACTAACAGCACATCTTCTTACGGTCCCATATCAACCACCCTGCCTCCACCACTCTCTCCCCCATCGGGAATATCCATGCCACAGGGCTTACTTACTGAGTCAGTTTTTACCTTCGCGCTTCTTTTCGTGGCTTTCGGGGTTGCTCTGGACCAAACCCAAGGAGCACTGTTTGGCCCCATCATAGCTCCGAGCCTCATTGGAACGGTTCTGACCCTCCTGGTTTTCATCTCCGGAGCTATCGCTCCCCCTGGGTACACCGGCGTTGGTATGAACCCAGCCAGGTGCTTCGGTCCGGCAGCAGCTTTGGGGTCCGAGGCTGGGGTTCTTTGGGAGAACGTATGGGTGTTTTTGGTCGGGCCTTTGCTGGGTGCGCTCGCGCTGGGGTTACTGTACAACCTGGTTCCTCCCCACCATGCGTCGGTGTACAGTGATCCTGAGCAAGGCATGTTTCATATGTTTAGGGTAAAAGCAGCAGCAGGAGCTGCAATGGGATCAGCAGCAGTAGTAACAGCAGCAGGGGAGGCAGGAACCACAGGAGGAGACATGGGCGGGAGAACAAGTCATAATGCATTGCTGCAGGAGAAAGCTCCCATGTTGCACGATGGACTCCAAGGGACATGCGACGTGGGCAAAGACAGCTTCGCTGTGCAAGTGGAAACAAATATCGTCACTAATACCAGGATATAGTTATTTAATTTGAGTTTTATTACCGGAACCTCCCACCACCAGATTACTGATAACATGCTTCAATTAGGGATTGATTGAAACAGTGTCCAAAAACAAAGTTGCATGTATTAATTTCTTGTACTTGACTTGCCTGTCGTGGTCCACAAGAATGTGACAAACCTATGAATCAGCATGCGGTATATCTAGGAACCTACAGTACATAAATTGCTTTAAACTGTACAGTTCACATGGGCGGAAGAAAGGACGTCAGGTCAAGCGAACGGATTCTGCCGTACGCGCCCCAGTGAATGCACACCTCTCCATCTCATGCGCAAAATTCCTGGTCATGGCGAGGCAATTTACTAGCCTATTCTGTTGTTATTGCCCATATGGTCTATCCCAATCTCCCACCCACCAGCACCCTATTATGCATTGTCCACTCAACACCACTACACGCCTTCAACCTGCATGCATCCTCCCTCGCCTCCTTTTGTTTGGGACAGCTGCCATCACTGTGCGGGAAGGAAGGAGCGAAGAAGAGACTCCAGCGCACCAATGGTGAACGGCTTGGGCAGGGCCTCTGTTGCAGGAGTGGGGACAGTCGGGAAAGCGGGAAAGGAGGGAGGGGGGGGATAGGAGGGGAAACAGGGAGGGGGGGTGAAGGGGGTTTCTGTTGGGGTGGATATGAGACACGAGTGGGACTAGGGTAGGGGACGGGGGAGAAGAGAGAGGAGCGAAGAGAGGGGAGGGGAAAGAAGACGAGAGGAGAAAGGACAAAAGGGGTGGTGCACGGAGCTGCTACTGTGTGCGAGAGGCAGGTGCGGTTCTTGCATGGGAGGCATGGCAGGAAAAGACGGGAGGTGCGAAGTAAGTGAGATAGTGAGACGCATATGCACTGGTCTATCGATGCTAGCAGTTTATAGGAGCAAGAGGGGTGGGCGGTGAATGAGTGCACGAAGCCAGTTTGCACATTTGGGTCATAACGACAGACAGCTGAAGAGAAGCTGGACTGGGCCAAGGAAGAAACATCTGGCATGGATGCATGTGCCGCATTGGTTGGTTGGTTGTACCTGAAAGGCCATCTGCAATGTACGCCGCCCGTTGCTGCTCGTCAAGGCCTGTGGACTGGAGGGACCATACAGCATGGGAGCATGGGCAGGGCATGGGCATAGGCGTAACAAGTGAGCATAAGCAGAAAAGAATTGGCGTGTCGGTCACATGGTGCTGGTAAATAGAAATTCTAGCCTTCAACAATGGCTTGAAAGACTATGGCCCCATCCCTGCCCCCCCCCATTCACCACACCCATTTCTGCCCCCTCTCACCACGCCCACCCCTGCCCCGCCCCTCTCTCACCACGCCCACCCCTGCCCCGCCCCTCACTCACCACGTCCACCCCCCTGTCCCCCCCCCCTCTCTCACCACGCCCACCCCTGCGCCACCCCCCCCTCTCACCATGCCCATGACAATGAGAGCGCGAGTGGCGCCTCGCCTGCGGTGGTCCGTCTGCAGAGCCTGCAGCACTGCTGGCAGGTCCACTCCGGGCATCTGAGCATGACAACACAACGAACGCATGACAACACAACCAATACATGACAACACGAGCACAGGGGCACATGAGCACATGACGACACGCGCACACGAGCACATGAGCACATGACGACACGAGAACCACATGGCCACAGGACATCACGACCATACAACCACATCACGACATCACGACAAGACCGCACGGAATCAGGGTGTAGGGACAAGAGAGCACATGGAGAAAGAGAAAAGCACAAGGACAAGGAGAGTGAGTGTGAGAAGGAACAAGGGGCGGAAATACCAGCTTTCACGACCGGAATTCAAATGTCTCTGTGTCGGTACTGGGTAAGTAGGTTGACCAGGATTCAAGCAAGGGCCATGTGTGCAAGCGGCGTGCAAGAAAGCGGCGTGCAAGCAAGCGGCGTGCAAGCAAGCGGCGTGCGAGAAAGTGCCATGCAAGCACGGGCCATGCACACACCTGAGTGTTGACCAGGACAAGGTCGAATCCAGTGGCCTGGTTCCTCTCCATGGCTCGCACCACTGTGCTCACCCCTTCCACCGCCAACCCCATGGCCACACACAGCCTCTCCGCTACCTTCCGGTCCGCCTGGAGGATGGTAAGAGGGAGGAGGGAAAGAGGGAGGAGGGAAACAGGAGGAGGAGATAGAGAGAGAGGGCAGGGGCGCGAGGAAAGGGGGGAGAAGAAGGGGTGGGGGAGGGAAGGGGTGTTGGGGGGCTACGGTCTTGTCGAGTGTATTAAGGAGTGAATGAATGGAGGGGACAGGGGGAGGTGGCTGGCAGCGGGAGGGGACATCGTCACATGGCCATGTCGACGCAGCGCGCAATCCAATAAAGAATCCCGGGTGATATAAGGCAAGGCACTCACAGCGTTGCAGTCAGCGATGAGCACGCGGCCCTGCAGCGCACCCCCCCGTGCAGCCCGGTCGATGGCCCCCGCGCCCTCCTTGAGTGCCTGCTCCGCCGCCTGCTTGTCCTTCTCCTCGCTGCCGTGCGCCGCCCCCCGCAGGTCCGAGAGCGCGTGGTCGTTGCCCGGGAGCAGGATGAGCGCGTCCTCTAGGGCCTCCAGGAGGGCCCGCGGTCGCACCTGGGGATGGAGGGGGTACGAGAGGGGAGGGCGATTAGCGATCAAGGAGGATGATGTGATGTGTAGGTGTGACAGAGTGCGTGGTCGTTGCCCGGGAGCAGGATGAGCGCGTCCTCTAGAGCCTTCAAGAGGGCGTGGGGTCGCACCTGAGGGGAAGGAAGAGGTAAAAGGGGGAGGATGGGGAGAATTGTGATGTTAAGGTGCGAGAGAGAGTGGTTCTTGGCTGGCAGGCAGCAGGATGAGCGCGACCTCTAAGGCCTCCAGGAGGGCCCGCGGCCGCACCTGATGGACGGAGGGGGCAAAGCAGGGAGTATTGTGCTGTGCAGGTGGGACAGCGTGACTTTTGAGTCGACTCAAAAGGAGGGAGTATTGTGCTGTGCAGGTGGGACAGCGTGACTTTTGAGTCGACTCAAAAGGAGGGAGTATTGTGCTGTGCAGGTGGACAGCGTGTGAGCGTTATTGGGGAGGAGCTCAGAGGGTGGGAGAGACGGGGGTGAGGAAGGGAGGGTGGAAGATAGGTAGGTAGGTGGGTAGGTAGGTAGGTGGGTAGGTAGTTAGGTGGGTAGGTGGGTAGGTAGGTAGGTGGGTAGGTAGGTAGGTGGGTAGGTAGTTAGGTGGGTAGGTGGGTAGGTAGGTAGGTAGGTAGGTAGGTAGGTAGGTAGGTAGGTAGGTAGGTAGGTAGGTAGGTAGGTAGGTAGGTAGGTAGGAGGTGGGTGGGTGGGTGGGTGGGTGGGTGGGTGGGTGGGTGGGTAGGTAGGTATGTAGGTAGGTAGGTAGGTAGGTAGGTAGGTAGGTAGGTAGGTAGGTAGGTAGGTAGGTAGGTAGGTAGGTAGGTAGGTAGGTAGGTAGGTAGGTAAGTAAGTAGGGAGGGAGGGAGGGAGGGAGAGAGGGAGAGACGGACGGAGGGAGGGGGGGACAGACGGACGGAGAGAGGGAGGGAGGGAGGGAGGGAGGGAGGGAGGGAGGGAGGGAGGGAGGGAGGGAGGGAGGGAGGGAGGGAGGGAGGGAGGGAGGGAGGGAGGGAGGGAGGGAGGGATAGAGAGTCTTGGAAACTCCCACATGCACGACTCAATCCTACAAAGCGTCAACCCTCATCCTTACTCCGCAACACACACAGCCATTCCCTCACCATTCCCGTCCCATCCCACCCAATCCCATCCCCACCCGCCATCCCCAATCCCACATCCCTCAGCTCCCTCACTCACCATGGGTTTAGCCAGCAGCACGGGAGCCTGGGCGTGCCAGTCCGCTGCCTCCTCCACCTCCTGCTTGAACCCCGGGTCCCTCGCAACCGTGCGGCTCAGCAGCAGCACCACGCCCACACGGTCCCTCGCGAGCAGCTGCAGCACCGACAGCATATCCGAGTCCCCCTTGACCTGCTTCTTCTGAGAGCAATCCACGACAACTAGCTCATAGTCTAGAGAGAGGCCGTCGCGGGGGGTGCCGTCGGGGAAGGTTGTGGGGGGGGATTGACCCGGGGAGGTCATGACTGGCGGGAGGGCGTGTGCGGGGAAGAGCGAGAGGAAGGCTTCTTCTGGCGTGCTGCTGCTGGTGCTGTGCGGCACGTGCCATGCGTGGAGTTGCTTTGCTATGGCTGCTGTGGTCACCTGGAGGGACGGGAGGGAGGAGGGTGTGGGAAGGGGGGAGCGGGAAGGGAGAGTGTGTTGTTGTGTTGGTTGACATTAAGGATAGATACATGTCCCATTGCACATGCGTGCAGCTGCTTTGATGCATGGCTGCTGTGGTCAAATGCAGGGACGGGAGGGAGGAGGGTGTGAGAGGGGAAAGAGCGCGTTGTTCTTGTCTCAAGGCAAATTGAAGGCCGATCCAAGCGCAAATATTATCTTCCACACACATGCACAGCACACACACTCCCCGCACACACACACACACACAGACAGAGACACCTGCAGTGTCCCACTCAACCCTCACCTGCAGGGCGCCCACCACCAGCACGCGGGACTGGCGCAGCGGCTGCTCTATGACCGGGGGAGCAGAGGGGCGCAGCACGACAGCGCTCTGGAACTCGGGGCGAGAGAGGTCCACGGGGAACTTGACTGCTACCGACGGCACCCGGTGCTGCTCTGCCACCAGTGTGACCGCTCCACCCATCGCCTCCACCAGCTGGGAGAGGTGTGCACACAAGAGGGGGAGGGTGCAGGGGGAAGCACACAGAAGGGAAACACAAAGAGGGAACGGAACGGACATAGCGGAGAGGTATGAAGAGGAGAGCATTGGGGGAGGGCGGGTTGCAGAGGGGCGCAGCACCACAGCGCTCTGGAAGGCAGGCCGTGACACTGGATTCGTTTTTCGGGATTCTCTTGAGAAATCTAAAAAAAAAGGTCCTCTTAACAGCACTCGCTCGCGACTCACCTTCTTGGCGGCCAGCAGGCTGCCCTGGTTGGCGTCAAAGGCAGCAGACAGAGCAGCGGGGGCTGCAGGTGACTCGATAGACGCCACGAGCACCGTGGCCTTGCCGTGTCTTGAGTCCACTCAGACACCCCGTCTCACCTTCTTGGCGGCCAGAAGACTGCCCTGGTTGGCATCAAAGGCAGCAGACAGAGCAGCGGGGGCTGCAGGTGACTCGATAGACGCCACGAGCACCGTGGCCTTGCCGTGTCTTGAGTCCACTCAGACACCCCGTCTCACCTTCTTGGCGGCCAGAAGACTGCCCTGGTTGGCATCAAAGGCGGCAGAGAGCGCAGCCGGGGCTGCAGGCGACTCAATAGACGCCACGAGCACTGTGGCCTTGCCGCCTGCTGCACCTGCTGCTGGGGGGGACTCCTTGTAGATGCGCAGGCGGACAAAGCCGCGACTCGTGCACTGGATGGCCAGTGACAGCAGCGAGACGAGCACCTGGGGAATGTGAGTGGGGAGAGTGTGCGTGAGTGGAGGGTAAGGTTTATGTGAGTGGAAAGGAACAATGAAAAGGAACAATGGAATGGAACAATGGAGTTGTGTGACTTATGGAGGTGGGAGGCAGTGCGTCAAACTTGATATCACCATGTGCGATGAAGCATGCCAAAGAGCGTGATTGGGATCCAGACGAACAGGCAACTAAAGTGGGAGCACCTGGATGGTGCGAGAGGAGTCGGCGAGAATGAAGGGCGGAGCATCGGGTGACGCATCCAGCACCACCTCCAGCCCCTTCCTCTCCGCCGCTCCCGCCATCGCCTCTGCTGCTGCCTCCGCCATCTGTGGTGGGACCACGAGGGAGGAGAGGGGAGGGAGGAGGAAGCAAGCAGATGGCAATGCCATCTCCGATCGCGCAGCACACGTGCTCGAGCAAGCGAGCAAGCAAGCAAGCAGTGGTCGCCAACCCTATCAGTCGTTGGCAAGTGAGCACAGCACACCCACCTCCGAGACCCACACCCCACACCCACCCCCCCCTCTCCCAACACACACACACACACACACACACACACACACACACACACACACACACACACTCTCTCTCCCCCCCCACACACAAACCCCCAGCCTCACACCCACCTCAACCACATTAAAAAGCTTCAGAGACGCCTCATACATGAACCCACACCCACCTCTGCGACAGCAGTAAGCGCCAGCTTGGGTGTCCAGCCGCCCGCCTCGATGATTGTACTGTCAAGAGCGTCCGCCACTACAGACGCCAGCTGCCGCCCGCTCTCCTCGATCTGATTCACCGCCGCCCGGTGCTCGTCAGTGAGCTCCGGCGCATCCTTGAGAGCCTTGGCACTCTCCAGCACGCTGCTGATTGGCTCCCGAACCTCGTGGTCTAGCTTCGCGAACAGGCCTGGGGGAGGGCGCAGGGGGTGAAGAGGGGGAGGAGAAGGGGGAGAAAGAGGAGAGGAAAAAATGGGAGAGAAGGATGGTTTGGAGCTGGATAAGTACAGGAGGGAGAGGTCTCTGCAGCCCCTCTCTTTCACTGCATGCTTGACCTATCTTTGGCAAAAGACATAAAAAAGCACGGGAGGTATACTTAGATAGGAATCATAGAAATGGCATGCTGATTGAAAAAAAGACACAAGCCAGACGAAAGGACAGTACCACGAGAAAAAAATGGTTATCATCAAACCTAAGCTGGGCCCTTACAATGGCCAAACCACCTTTCCAACCCTCCACTTATCCCTCAAAATCACTTTTTAGGCGCCTCAAAAGTAGCCTCCCCAATCCTCCACCCATCCCTCAAAACTCTCTCTACCCCCCTTCCCTCTCACACACCCCCCACCCAATCGCACCACTGTCACACCACCCCCTTCCTCACCAGCCTCGGCAGTGCGAAGGCGGGCGTTGGCTGTGTCAGCAGCGACAACAGCAGCGTGAGTCTGCTTGCGGTCTGTCACGTCGGCGTGCGTGCCCACAAAGTGCAGCGGCTCCCCACTCTCCCCCCGCGCCACCACCTGCCCGCGGTGCAGCAGCCACCTGGGGGTGGAGGTGTGGGATGAGGGGGGGAGATGTAGGCGCGAGAGGAGGGGAGGGGGAATAGGAGAGAAGGGTGCTTTCTAAGCGCCTCACAAAGTGCGGTGCGGAGGTTCCCCACTCTCCCTCCACACCACACCTTGCCCACGGTGCAGCAGCCACCTGGGAGCAAACGTGAGAAATGGGGGGTGGAGAGGGGGAGGTTTAGGGGGGACAGGAGGGAGAAGGAGAGGAGAGGAGAGCTCTTTTCACGTGCCCCAGAAAGTGCAGAAGCTCGCCTTTCTCCCCCCCTGACCCACCACTTGCCCCCGATGCGGCAGCCACCTGGGAGCGGACGTGTGGGACGGGGGAAACGGAGGAGAGGAGAGGGGAAAAATACGGTGGCAGGTCGGTGTGTGATGGTCAGGGAGAGTAAGAGGCAAAGCGGAGCAATCCCTGATCTGCTCTTCTTTTGATGAATCCTCACACAGTTGATCCGTCCTTGCCAAGTGACCCGCCTTGCCAAGTGACCCGCCTTGCCAAGTGACCCGCCTTGCCAAGTGACCCGCCTTGCCAAGTGACCCGCCTTGCCAAGTGACCCGCCTTGCCAAGTGACCCGCCTTGCCAAGTGACCCGCCTTGCCAAGTGACCCGCCTTGCCAAGTGACCCGCCTTGCCAAGTGACCCGCCTTGCCAAGTGACCCGCCTTGCCAAGTGACCCGCCTTGCCAAGTGACCCGCCTTGCCAAGTGACCCGCCTTGCCAAGTGACCCGCCTTGCCAAGTGACCCGCCTTGCCAAGTGACCCGCCTTGCCAAGTGACCCGCCTTGCCAAGTGACCCGCCTTGCCAAGTGACCCGCCTTGCCAAGTGACCCGCCTTGCCAAGTGACCCGCCTTGCCAAGTGACCCGCCTTGCCAAGTGACCCGCCTTGCCAAGTGACCCGCCTTGCCAAGTGACCCGCCTTGCCAAGTGACCCGCCTTGCCAAGTGACCCGCCTTGCCAAGTGACCCGCCTTGCCAAGTGACCCGCCTTGCCAAGTGACCCGCCTTGCCAAGTGACCCGCCTTGCCAAGTGACCCGCCTTGCCAAGTGACCCGCCTTGCTAAGTGACCCGCCTTGCTAAGTGACCCGCCTTGCCAAGTGACCCGCCTCTCCTCCCCACACTCACCGGTACGACCCATCCTTGCAGCGCAGGTGCTGCTCGTGCACGAACACGGGAGTGCGGCCGTCCAGAAGGGTGCACCGCTCTTCTTCTCTCGCTTCAGCCCCACAAGAAGAAGTCACCCAGAGCATCCTCTCTCACTCACCGGTACGACCCATCCTTGCAGCGCAGGCGCTGCTCGTGCACGAACACGGGAGTGCGGCCGTCCAGGTGCGCCTTGAGGTCGATGAACGCCGACTGCACGTCGTCTGGGTGCAGCAGCGACTCCCACACCTCCACTGACGCCTCTAGCTCGTCCGGCGCGTACCTGGCGGGCGCAGCACGGGAGGGGTTTGTGTGGGGGGGGGGGAGAACGAGGAGATGGGGAAATCTTGAGCCACTTCAAACAAAGCAGCGACTCCCACACCTCTACTGACGCCTCTAGCTCGCCCGGTGCGTACCTGCCAGGTAAGGGAGGTGGGGAGTAGGGGGGAGGCGGGGTGGGAGGGGGCCGGAGGGGAAGGGGATGGGGAACATATGAGCCAGAAGTTGAGGGTGGTCTCATTTGAGATGCTTTTACATACAGCTACACGCTTCTCTCTCCTCCCAGCACTCACCCCAGAAGCGCCTTCCACTGGTCACTGATCTCAAGAGTGTTGTCTCACACGTTCCAGTCCCACACGGCTAGTTCGCTGCTTTTGAGATTTTTTAGCTGCCTCAAAAGTCACCAAGTATCCTCCCAGCTCACCCGAGAAGAGCCTTCCACTGGTCGCTGATCTCGAGGGTGTTGTCGCGCACGTTCCAGTCCCACACGCCCAGCTCACTGCCGTGCAGCGCATACTTCCACCGCTCCTCGCTCTCCTGCACTCCCCAACCATGCACGCACACACACACATCCATGCACGCATGCACACACACACTCACACACGCACACACACACTCACACACGCACACACACATGCACACACGCACACGCACATGCACACACGCATGTGCACACCCAGTTCACACACCCACACATGCGCACGCCACACCGATACACACACGCATGTTAAGTCACACCTGTCATTATGAGCACTGTCGGAAGCGCCAGTGACAGACATGCAAGGGGACTCAACTCTCAAGAGTCTCAGAAACAATAATATCATCCAAAGCCACTTCCAAAAGCACTTCAAGCCACGTTCCAGAGTCCAGTGCCCTGTTCTGCTTGCTGCTCCCTTCCAATCATCCCTTCTTTCACTACCCCTCCCCCCCCTTCTCCTGCCCCTCACCACCAGCTTGCAAGCAACAGCAGCTTCTCCCTCACGTCTATTACACCCCCCCCCCCCAACTGTCCCTCTCTCCTTTTTCTCCCCCCTTCCTTTCCCCCCTCTCTCCCCCCACCCCCTTCCCCCCTTCCCCACCTGCAGCTTGCGGGAGGAGTCGAGCTTCTCGGAGACGTCTCGGACAACGGCGACATAGAACACCGTGTCGTACGTGCCCTTGCTGATCGACACCTCCATCGGAAACACACTGCCGTCCTGCCGCCACTGCTCCCCCCGTCTCCATCTCATTCAACCCCCCTCCCTTCTCAGTCATGTCTCAACCAACCGGCCCTGCCCCCCCAGCCCTCCCTGCCCCCCCTCCCCTCCCCTCTTCCTCTCCTCACCTGCAGCTTGCGGGAGGAGTCGAGCTTCTCGGAGACGTCTCGGACAACAGCGACATAGAACACTGTGTCGTACGTGCCCTTGCTGATCGACACCTCCATCGGAAACACACTGCCGTCCTGCCGCTGCCCCTGCCCCGAGTGCACGTGCCCTGCATGGTGCTCCAGACCTGCAGGTGGATGGAACGGAGAGAGGGTAAAGAGACGCGTGGGGAGGAGTGGGGCACGTTGAGAATGAAACGGGCACATTCAGCCAGCCAATGCCATTGCCACTGCCGTCCTGCCGCTGCCCCTACCCTGAGTGCACGTGCCCTGCATGGTGCTCCACCTGGAGGTTCCTCAGGGCCGGCACGCCGCACGTACCCTGACTGCACTGCGCGTCACCTGCATGCGTGCATTGCATCGTGTTCCACCCACCTCAAGGTTGGGCGCGGGGGGCACAGAACGTTCCCTCTCTTCTCTCACCCACCTTGCCGCAGGAAGTTGGCGTGCTCGCCGGTCCACCTCGAGCAGCAGGCCCGTGACCTGCAGGTTGGGCAGCAGGGGCACAGACGGCCCTTCCCTCGCCCTCCCCACCCACGCGTCTCAACCAGGAACAAAACCATGTTTCCACCCTCACCTTCCCGCAGGAAGTTAGCGTGGCCGTCCACCTCGAGCAGCAGGTCCGTGACCTGCAGGTTGGGCGGCGCGGGCACGTCCTCCGACTGCTCACTGTCGGGCGCCGCAAAGCCAAACATCACACGCGCCGAGTGGTTCATGGACGTCACGTGCCCGCTGTGCGACAGCGACATGATGCCCTCGTTCGCCACCTGGGAGCGGGGGGGGGTGGCGGGGGTTGTTTGGGCAGTGGGGCAAGGAGGAGAGATGTGAGAGTGGGCAACCGAGTGGTTCATGGACGTCACGTGCCCGCTGTGCAACAGCGACATGATGCCCTCGTTCGCCACCTGGGGGATGGGTGGGAGGGTTGGGCAGTGCGGCAAACAGGGGTAAGAGGAGAGAGAGTCGGCTAGAGGGTGGTTCATGGACGTCACGTGCCCACTGTGCGACAGCGACATGATGCCCTCGTTTGCCACCTGGAGGGGGGAGGAGGGTTGTGCAGTGGGGCAATGGGGAGTGAGTAAGCAGTGAGGCATGGTTTGTGGGCGTGGAAAGGAGTCAGAAAAGGCGAGATTCGTGGAGAGAACGTGGCTGCTGCCGTGCGCGCCAAGGTGCCAAGGTGCCATCCATGCCAAGCCAACGACCTGCTGAGCCATCAGCAGCTCACCACTGGCACTGCCTCTCACTCACTCACTCAGAGGAGAGCAACAACACTCCACTGGTGCAGCTCCACCTCCCTCCTCCCTTCTTGCACTCATTACCGACAACCCGGCGAGTTCCAGTCGACTCACAAGCCCATCCACCCATCCCTCCATCCCTCCATCCTTCCATCCACCACGTCTCACCTGCACGACACTGGACAGGTGCAGCTCGGCCTCCTTGCGCCGCTTGCGCTCGTTCACGGCATAGATCATCTGGGCGATGGTGAGAGTCAGCGGCTCAAGCTCCTTGGCCAGCTGCTCGTCGTACCCCTCCATGCGGTTCGCCAGCCCAAAGATGCCAATCAGCTCCGTGCCTGTTGGGACCGGTTGGGGGCGGATTGTTAGAGGTTGAGGGGGAGGGAGGCAGGTGCAGAGAGGGTGAGGGTGTGGGAGGGAGGGAGGGAGGGAGGGAGGGAGGGAGGGAGGGAGGGAGGGAGGGAAGGAGGGAGGGAGGGAGGGAGGGAGGGAGGGAGGGAGGGAGGGAGGGAGGGAGGGAGAGGAAGGGGACAGGGTGGGGGTGGGGGGGGATCAGCAGGTGGGTCTAACATCCCCTCCTCCAGATGCTCTTTGTGCCTACAAGGTAACCCGTAGGTGGTTCAATCAATCATCCTCCTCCCCCACCCTCCTTTCCCCCCCACGCACCCACCCACACACCCACGGGCCCATGCACAGCAAAGCGGGATGCCCATGAAAGGCGCAATGGGCGGGTGACCAGGCAGCAACTTTAAAATCAACTCTGAGTTTTCCTTCACTTATCTTTCTCTCCCCACTCCCAGCATGCCCCCTTCTCCTCTTCCACCTCCGCCTCCCCACTCCCCAGGCACCCACCTGTGTAAGCGGACCGCCCACGAAAGCCTAAATGGACGGGTGACCCAGAAACAACTTGTAAACCGACTCAAACCCACCCTTCTTTCATCATCTTTCCCCCTCCCTTTCCATTCGCCTTCCCCTTCCCCTTCCCCACGCACCAGTGTAAAGCGGGATCCCCATGAAGGTCTCAATGGGCGGGTGGCCAGGAGGCACGCCGCGGGAGCGCGGGTCATTGACAGCGTCGTTGGTGATCACAGCCTGGCCCGTGAGCACGACGGTGCCGTGCAGCGTGTTCATGTTGGTGAACACCAGCCCCTTGTGCGCGTTCGCCGCGTACCACGCCCGCAGCTCCTTGGTCCACGCCACGTTCGTCATCGCGTGCGTCTGGTGGGGGGGCGGGTGGAGAGGGGGGAGGGAGGGGGGAGGGAGAACGGGGAAGCGCGGGAGGGAGAATGGGGGGGAAGCGAGGGAGACGGGGGGGGAGAACGAGAGGGGAGAATGGGGGGAGAAAGGAGGGAGGGCAACAAACACTTCCCTGCACCTTCTAATGCGCCTTTCTTGTACCGCAAAGTAACAAAATAAGACGCATTGGCCGTTACAACTCTGCTACACACTTACCGCACTCCACCGCACTCCACTGCACTACACGGCACGGCAGGGCAGCAGGGCACAGATAGGCAGTGTACCTTGAGGTAGGGCGTGCCGTCGGCCTTGAGCAGCGCAGAAGAGATGAACCCAAAGCCCGACGACGTCACGTCTAGCAGCGCGGACAGCAGGAAATCAAACACCAGCGTGCCATTCGGCTCCTGCGGAGGGGGAGGGGAGGGGAGGGAGGAAGGGGGAGGGGGGAGAAGTGGGGGAAAAGGATGGAGGAGGGTTGACGGGGAGGCGAAGGAGGTGATGAGGGGCACGGGGAAAGCGGGGGAGAGGGCGGGAGGTGAGTGGGAGAACCATACGGTTCAAGACATGTGAACAAACACCCTGAAACCTACGCCTCCGCTGCCCTGAAGTTCCTGAGGCGACTCGAGACTAGACCTCCGCCCAGTACGGGCCTCCCCTCCCTCCCTACTCAATGTGCAACGTTCCCCCCATCAAGCGCCACACTTACACCATCCGCGCTGCCCGTTCCCCATCCGCGCTCCCCTTTCCCCATCCGCGCTACCCTTTCCCCATCCGCGCTCCCCTTTCCCCATCCGCGCTACCCTTCCGCCGCGCCGCCCAGCATCCCTCTCTTTATTCCTCGCCTTCTGCAGCTTTCGTCCCCTTTCTGTCCCCCTAGACCCTCCCCTCCGCTCCGGAGCACCGTTTCGAACCGTGTCAAACCGCAGCAACTTGTGATGCTGACTGACCCATGCACGTGTATTACATGCTTACTGATGCTCGCACGGTCTAGCTCCCTTCCAGTAGCTAATACCTCAGTTCATTCACAAAGCACACTCGGCGCGCCTCACCTTATCAATGAAGTACACTTGGTGCGCGCGCGCAATCGCGGACAGCAGCTTCCGATGCAGCGCATCCCCGGAAGCCGCTCCGCCGCCCTTCTGCGCGCCGCCAGCGGGCGGAACCCCCCCGGCGCCGCGCGTGCTCCCCGCATCCTCCCGGAAGCTCGAATTAAGGCTGTCGATTTCGCTCGCCCTGTCGCTCCCCGCAATCATCTTCCCCTGCATGTGCGGGCACGCCTCAATCCCCAGCACATTCGCCGCGGTCGTCCCCGGCCCTCCCCCCGCGCCCGCTCCCCCTGGCGCTCCTCCCCCGTCGGATCCCCCGAACGGGGACCCAGCGTGGAAGCGCGGGGAGGCGTCGTGCGACACGTCGGAGCCAGCCGCGCCCCTCCGCGCGCGCGAGTCCCGCTGCGGGGAACCCGTGCGGGAGGTGGTCGGAGACGAGGTGTCGGAGAGGTAACCGACTTGATTGTCCGGGGACGCTGACGCGTACTCGATAACATGCATTCCGCTAGCGACAGTAGACGGGGTCGTGCGGCCGCTGACAGCGGGAGAGCCGGCGCCGGATCCAACGGCGCCGCCCCCGCGCGCGCCGCCAGCTGTGCCGGGCTTGGGGAGGTGGATGCCGCAACGCTGCAGCAGCTGCGCCGCCTTGGGATGCTCGTTGGCGTCGTCGCGGACGTGAGAGCACTTGCGGCAACTACGGGGGTGAGAGGTACGTGAGCGCAGATGTGAACATTATTATATATTTAAAAAAATACGTAATTAGGTGGTTATTTAAATAATATGACAATTTCTTATGATTGTTAGATAGCAAGAGGATTTCGTTGCAATTGGCACACTCGACAGCCGCTTCATTGCTTATTACAAAAATAATTCAACAATGACGTAATGCAGCGGGAAAGCCAAGAAAGACAAGAAAAACAGGCTACCGAGTCCGACCGACAGGTCCAAACAGCGTCTAAGAGCTTCGACTGAGTCAACAACAACGAGCGAAAGACAACGGCTTCAAGGATAATCTTGGGAGTAAAAGAGGCAGAGGAGACAAAGGGATCGACATTGGACAATAACGAGCGAACGTACCGCCATCCAGCCTCGATCCACGCGCGAAGCGCCACCCAGTCAGCCTCCGTCAAGCTGGCGACCACCTCCCATGGCGGTAAGTCGAGTGTCCCAGCGCCGCGCGAACTCTTCCTCCGCGCATCTGAACCGCCGCCGCCGGCGGCGGGTCTGGCGGGACCCGCGGCGACGACCGCGCCAGCCTGTGAGCCGGCCTGTGCGCGCGCGAGCTCCTGGATCTTGGTGGACTGCGCGACGGCCTTGGCGAGGTCGACGCCTGCTTCGTTAAGCTCATCCGCGGTAACAGCTCCTGCGGTAGCAGAGCGGCGACGCAGCTTGACGCCCTTGGAGGCGGATTGTTGAGCTCCCATTGCGGAAACGAAGGGGAGACGAAATTATGAGGACGAAGGAAAATGGGACGAAATAAACAGGTGCCGCGACGTGGTAGCTTAAAAAGCCGATTAACAAGACGACAGTTATGTGATTACTGCGCTTGGTCTCAATTTGGCTCCTTCGGCTAAGAGCAATCAGCGTCGCAGTTGTTCGACGAGGCGAGCGAAAGAAAAGCGAAGAAGGAAAATGTAAGCTTTCACAGGCCTCGCGGAGTTGACGGATAGATTATGCAGAATGCACAATCTGGTGCAGAAGAGGGAAATGCAGCCTAGGCTCCACAACACAGCTCAGGCTCACCAAATAATTTTTAGAGAGCCTAAAAGGACAAGGCGATTGTGGGTGCTTCACGAGAGGAAGTGAGGTGAGGTGAGGAGGGAGGGAGGAGGGAAGAGGGAGGAGGGGGACGGCTGTTGCAGCTGCTGCTGCTGCTGGTGACTGAGCCGACCGCGGGGGAAAATGTTGCAAGCATCACTGTAGTCTTGATTTGCTCGCGGTTGTTTAGGTTCGGTCGGTACGAAACGGTGCTCCGGCGTAGACGAAGCCCGAAGGGCGCGTTCTTGCAAGTTGCAACTCTTGTGCTTATTTTTTTGGGCAGAAGGCGGTATTGTAACGATGCATAACCTGTAAACCCAACCTTTCGTTGCCCTCAAGCAGGTTTTCCATGCCGATATGAATGCGCTTGGCGAGTCTAGTCAGAAGGTACGGGGGATTTGGTGGGCGTCAAGCCATGCCCATCGGAAAAGCAGTTCCGAGTCCCGTCCCGAACCAGGCCATGATATTTCCGCGTGCCATCAGGGAATGTGAATCATGGGTGCACAGTATGGCAAAACAAGGGGGGCGTTCCCCCACCTTGCCACAAGTTTGAGCAGGAGCCGTGATTTTGCCTTATGCTCGAAGGGAGATTTTGCCATGTAGTGTTGTGTCGCAACCCAGATGTGGAATCGTAAAGCACATGCCAGTTGGCTCAACCATTTCCCTAAGTGCGACCAACAAAAGGTCGAGTTGGGTCAGTACCGGCCCAGAGCAAAACTAGCCCAAAGATGCTCTCGATAATACTGTACAGTATCCAGGCTTTGGATGCTGTCCAGGAAAACGCCGAACAAGCCATGCCTAATCTTCAGATATTGGACTCTCACTAGTGGAGCGCTTTGGCAGGACGCGCTCATTGCTCATCAGTTTGTGGATGACGTGGTGCCTTATCACCACCTGTTCAGGTTCTGCTGATTGATGCTTCGTGACTGTTACGTGTTGTGCGGAAAATATAACGAAGCTATGACTAAATTAACTGACATACAATTAAGGTTGACAAACAAGCCTGACCTGAACAAACCTAATAATTTTGTGGCCTACATGAACTGACATACAAGCCTAAACCATCTTACTGATTTGTGGACTTTTTGTTTCCTGGTCCTTCAATCAGCCAATGGGCAGGAAAATCCCAACTACAGTTGTGATGGATCTTGTGGTTTAGAAGTAAACAACTCGGATATATTGAGAGGCGCCGATGCACAGAGGGCACAAAGGCCAACCGAATTCTCAGCCCACTAACTGTCCCCTAATGGTACCACTAGATCCGCCAGAGGCAGTGGTAGCTCCGCTGTATGTCACATTAACATAGAAGTTCCCAGGGGTGTCATACACACCAGCTTTAATCAGATCGGCTGCTTTGAGCTTGGGAGTCCATGATTTATCCAGGGTCGTACGGGCTTCGCCAAAGCAGACATATCCAGTCCCAACAGTGTGCATCCTGCAGGGGAAGGATGTCACTAAAGGTCCCGTGGCGCCCCCCTTCCCCTTGAAAATCCCTACATCGGAAAAGTTGGCTTTGGGTTTGTGGGGCAGGGCAAACACGCGAAGAGTGTATCCCACCAGCTGAGTAAATTCAGTCCTGGAAATAGCATAAGGGAGTATGGATGAATTGCAGGGGAGGGGGTGCCGGGGAGATCAGGGGGAACAAGTGGAGAAGGGAGAGAAAAACTCAATCATGTTTCTCGAGTCATTGCAACACCCAACGGTAATCGACAGGCACAAGCAGTTCACATGGTGTCTTGATCTCGTGGTAATGTGCGAGTGCATGCAACTGATAGGGACAAGCAGCAAAGGTGTGAGGCTTACATCTTGACAGAAACTTGAAAGGAACCAGTGTAGGGTGAAGGGGAAACACCCTTTGTCTTGGACGAAACATAGTCTGCACAAAGTACCCAATAATCAGGTGAGCGTCAGTGCGTGCGTGGGTGTCTGTGTGGGGGCGCGTGTGTGGGGGGGAAGGGGGGAGGGGGGGCGGGTAGGCACGCCACGTGCTCGTGTTGAATGAGGACAACGAAGCGGGGTGGGGTGGAGAGTGAGGAATTTCAAAAGGCAACAGCGAACAGGAGAAGCTGGGTGGTCGATTGTGGGGAGCTTTCGCAACAGAGGACCACCATAGCAGCCAGACATGGCGTAACGCCTGTGCGTCCATCGTTGTTTGATGAGGGGCTATAACAAGTCCCGGGGTAGTTTGTAGCGAGTAATGGCGGACTCACAGTATCTGGAGCTGACGGTGATGCTCTCTAGAGCCTGGGTAGGGCTAATCATGCATCCAACCGACAGCACCACAGCTGACAGGAGCAGGAATCGTGTGAAGAGAAGCAGGGAGGGGAGAGAGAGACATGGATGTCAACGAGGATGTGGATAGAAGAGACGCAGAGTATGACGGATTGCACTGCAGTTTTATTGCATTCACACTGCGCACTGAAACGAGGGAGGCTACCACCAGAGGAGGTCATACGAGCGAATGAATCAGGTGAGAAACGCCGGCTCTGCGACGCTTACCCGCGACGAAGATTGAACGGAGCAGCGAAGGAGAGGCTCCAGGTGAGAAGCAGCCGATGACCTGTGCAGTAGTGGCCGCCATTGGCGGTGAGTTGTACGTCTCACAGTAGGACTTCGCGACGACACCACTGAGTATAACCGTTTGTCAGAGGCCTGTAGTAACGGAATGAGAAGATGTGCGTCTCGCTTTTTCACAACAGTTCAGACTGTCGCGGAGAGCAAGATTACGGAGCGTCGTGAAGGCGAGAAAAGAGGGTGAGGCAGTACCGAGTTCTTCCAACACCTATCACGCAGCGAACAGATTCGGCAGAGACAGCAGAAAATTGCCACAGGTACGGTGACTTCCTGTTTTTGACAGAATTTAGGGCGAAGTCAGGTTATACAATTCTCACGCGTTTACTGTTCTTGCTTTGTGGTTCAGGATGGTCCAGCACGGTGAAAAGCGGTTCTCGCCTCGTACCGCTCTGCACCTTGTTGAAACAAAGCTAACCGCAGTAGGCGTACAGGAGGTTGTACAACCTGACGTCGCCGGGGTTCGAGTGCTGCTTCTACTTTTTGCGTGGCGAGACGTGAAGGTTAGGAAGGTTGGTTTGGGCGATGGACGAAATCGGCTGGCGAGGCGAACCACGGTGGTGCTGAAATTTGTAGAAACGTCTCGTCGAATAAGAACATGTCTCTGGAGTTACCAGATCTGGATTGCACTTCGTGAAGTCCTTCGCAAACAATTTCGGCTTCACGGGAAAATCGTGTGTGAGATCGTCACTACCACGTCGTCGCTAGTACAGTAATTTCGTGTGGCGAAAATTACTCCGACGACTTACGAAGTGTGTCCTTCTCAACTCGGTCACACCCAACCAACCTAACCAAAAGTAGGAAGGGGGCGGTTTTGCGGTCATAGGGATGACCGCAAATGGCGGCTACTACTGCACAGGTGTACTACCTACTGTTATGAGTTGTAAAAGAGAGTGCGCAGGTAAACGAATAACGAGACTGTGATTAACTGATCTGAGAATACAATGAAGCCACAGACTAATGTAGGGGCTAGCCTAGCTAGGAGTAAACCTCGGACGAGCGAGGTTGGGGTGCAGGTTTGGCGATGGGAAATGCCGAAGGCGACTCGAGGAGCCTCGGCAGCGTTGAAATCGGCCGAACGTGCAAAGTCTGAAAATCGGGCTGTACGCGTAGCAGTCAACCCCGATAAGGAATTCGGGAAAATTCCTTACACTACCCCCCCCCCTTAAGAAAGGCGGTCAATATCCGAAACACGCCTGCGTGCCAAATAATCACGAACAAGTGACGAGGCGTCGAGCGAGTCGGAATGCACCCACGTGTCATCTTCACTGGTGCGGTCAGTCCAACGGATGAGGAAATCCACGTGGCGACCAGCTGCGTCAAGGCGAACCCGATGTGCCAGGATCTTCGAAGGGTCGAGAGTCGGCTCCGGGACAGGTCGTCCAGTTGGGGCAGCTTGTTGCCGCGCGATGTCGGTCGTGGCTGGCACGAACTTGCGAAGCAGGCTGACGTGGAAGGCGTCATGAATGCGCCAGTCGTCGGGTAGCAGCAGCTTCGCGGTGACAGGTGTCACCATCTTGATAATCTTGAATGGCCCACAAAATCGTGGCCGTAGTTTTGACGGGCCGGGCAGGTGCAGGTTCTTCGTATCAAGTAGCACTAATTGCCCAGTGGTCAAGACGAGTTCCCGGCGTAGAAGGTTGGTGTATTTGCGGGAAGTTATATTCGCTTTGCGAATTGCGTCTGCGGCTTTTTCCCGGGCTTCCTGTAGTTCCGTCACAAAAGTTTGTGACCTCGGTACTGGGTTGTCGAGGGAAGTCGCGGTAGGAACCGTCGGGTCCATCCCGTAATTCAGGAAAAACGGGGAGTGGTTAGTCGTACTGGACGGCGCGTTGTTGAAGGCGAACTCCAACATGGCGAGAGATTCTTAACAGTGGGCAGGGTCGGGGCAGTTTGTCCTGATCAGCTGCTCCATGGTCTGATTGGTCCGCTCGGTCTGGCCGTCCGTCTGTGGGTGATATGCTGATGAGGTGTAGTTTCGTGCCGTACTGCGCCCATGTCCTTCCAGAATTTCGATGTAAACTTCGGGTCTCGGTCGCTGATGATCGCCGAAGGGATTCCGTGCAGTCGCACGACCGTTGAGATGAAGAGGCGCGCAGTTTCTTCGGCTGTGATTGTCATTCGGCATGGGGCAAAGTGCGCCATCTTCGTGAAGCGATCGACGACGACGAGTACAGCGTCGTTGCCGGACGGCCCAGCTGGCATCCCCGTGACAAAATCCATTGTCACTTGCTGCCACGGTCGTTCGGGTGGCTCGAGGGGTTGCAGCAGCCCAGCTGGCCGTTGACGAGTCGATTTCATGGCTTGGCACACCCTGCATGAGGACACATATCGTTGCACGTTGTTAGAGGAATCAGGCCAATAATATTGACGGTGCAGTAATTTCTGGGTTTTATCAACCCCGAAGTGTCCGGAGAAGTTCGAATCGTGGACCTCCTGGATTAGGAGTTCACGCAGCAGCCGGTAAGCGGGAACCCAAATCCGGTCGGTTCCGGCTTTCAGGTAATAGTCCCCTTTCTGCGTTGTGGCCTGCTGATGGTTCCCAATCGTGAAGAACGGGTCCGTAATGTAGCCGTGGGTGAATAGTCCGGTAAGTAACGTGTTCGAATGGGTGATGAGTATTGCAGCGGATTGTACTGTCGGTCGGGTCAGGGCGTCGGCGATGTTATTCGCCCCTTTTTTGTACGTGATGCGGTAGGTGAAGTGGCTCTCCATGTAGTCCAGCCACCGAATCTGTCGTGGGTTGAGGTTGGGTTGGGCTCGCAGGTACTGTAGGGACTTGTGGTCCGTGCGAACAGTGACGTCGGCGCCCACCAGGTAGCATCGCCATAATTTAAACGCGTGTATGATGGCGAGCATCTCCTAATCGTGGATCGGGTAGTTGCGTTCGGCTGCCTGCAGCTTGCGTGATTCGTAGGCGATCGGCTGCAACCCGTTCCCAAAATCTTGGAGAAGCACAGCTCCGATGGCGAAATCTGAGGCGTCGGTGACAACTTCGAACGGCTTCGATGGGTCGGCGATGCGCAGCACAGGAGGGGAAACGATAAAATTTTTGAGTTCCTGGAAAGCCGCTTCTGCCTCCTCCCCCCACACAAAATTCCTGTCCTTGTGCAGCAGGTCGGTCAGCGGGCCGGTTATCCCCGCCATATTCGGGATAAACCGCCTGACGTAATTCACGAATCTGAGAAAACTCTGAAGTTCCGTGACATTCGTCGGGGACTTCCACTCCTGTATGGTCTTGATTTTCGCCGGGTCGATTTTGATGCCGTCGCGTGAGATGACGTGGCCCAAAAACTCCAGCTCCTGCTTAAAAAACTCGCACTTAGAGCCCTTGGTGATGAGTCGGTTCTCCTGCAGCCGCTTAAACACTGCATCCAGGTTGCGGAGATGCTGCTCCCTTGTCTTGCTAAAAATCAGGATATCGTCCAAGTAGACGATGACACAGCGGTCTAGAAGATCCCGAAAAACCCTGTTCATGGTCAGTTGAAATGTCGAAGGCGCGTTCGTGAGGCCGAAAGGCATCACTGTAAATTCGTAACTCCCGTAGCGTGTGCGAAATGCAGTCTTGTGACAGTCGTCGGCGAAGACTCGAATCTGGTGGTAACCGCCACGTAAGTCAATCTTCGAGAAATAGCGAGCGCCGCGAAGTTGGTCGAGGAGGTCGTCGGTGCGTGGGATTGGGTAGCGAGACTCGATGGTGACCCGGTTCAGCGCGCGATAGTCGATGCACATGCGAAGCCCGCCGTCTTTCTTCGGAGTGAACAGGATCGGTGCTGCGAAGGGAGATGTGCTGGCCCGAATGAACCCTTTCTCCAACAGTGCGTCAATTTGACTTTGCAGCTCCTCGAGTTCCGGTTGGGTCAACCGCCACTGTGTCCGAACAGTCGGCTGCGCGCCAGGTTCCAGCTGGATTTTGTGGTCCTCAGGTCGCTCGGGTGGCAGTCCAGGTGGCAGATCGTCGAGGAAAATGTCGGGGTACCTCCGAATCAGCTCTGCTAAATCCGGCGGTACAGCTGCACACAGCTTCTCGATGTCCTTTCCGTCGGTGTCAACCGCCAACTCGCGTAAGCAAACAGCGAACAGCTGTGCGCCCCTGTTGAAGTGGCGAGCTATAGTGATGGCTTTGACGCACGAACTTGGATGTAGTCAGGTGTCCATGCAGGCAACTTAATTAGCCCCTCGTGCTTGTTGATGCTGCACGATCCCGTTGTCCAGTCGATGACGGGGTTGTGCCGTCGCAGCCAATCACGTCCTAGCAGTACGTCGCAGCCGTCCAATGTTGTCGCGAGAAACTTCATGCTGAAGCCGAAAGCGTCGCCGCATTCGATCCTGACCGTCCGTGTTTCTTCCGTTATCGCCAGAGGCGTCCCATCCACGAGGCGGGCGTCAATTTCGGGCAGACACCTATCAAGTTGCAGCTTGCATTTTTTTGCGCTCGCCAAATTGAAGAGGCTATGGCTGGCCCCCCCATCGACGAACATTTTCAAGTTATTTTTTAACACCTTGCCAGCGACCAGCACAGGGTGATCCACATGTGTATCCCCGTTATTCGGCCGAGTGCGATCGATTGCATGAATTGGAACCACGATCCGGTGGGGATGGTGGGGTTCGGGCGACAGAGCACAGTCAGTAAAGGGCCCACTAATTACTGACTCTTCCCATTTCCCTGCTCCTTCCTGTCGTTCCCCGTCAGCGGCGTTTTCTCGTGGCAGTCTTTCATGTAGTGACCCGTCTTTCCACACCGGTAACACGGTCCCTTAGGAGGGCGGTCGGGTGTATAGACGGCGTTGATCGTGGCCCGATGGGTCTGGCCACGAAAGCGGTTTCCATCCCTGGAAGCTGCTCTCGCGTACTGCATCAGCACATCTGTTGACTCCGCCAGCCGTACTGCTTCAAGAAATGATGTCGGGCGGCCCCTGCGAACCTCGTACTGTATCTCGTATTTGAGGCCGCTGATATACTTATCCAACCGCTCTGCTTCCGACATGTCATCAACTTGGTCGGCGAGGC